TGATTTCTTTATAATAGTTTACTTTGTCTTTCTTTGCTGTCCTGTGAGATTTCCAATTAAGACCGTGACATCCTCATTTCTCCCATTTGCTTTAGCTCTGCTGCAATGAAGAGCAAGATTAAAAGTCTCTTTTGATATCGATGTTTTCTTTCTTCCTTGTCTTTATACTCACTGTATGCTTTCTTCATGATGATGATCTTGATGTCCTCTCACAGCGCATCAGGTCATCTGCCAGTAGTGTTCAAGGCAGCAAATCTGTATTGGAGATAGTCTCACAATTCAGGTGCGATAGACTCAAGGTCATGTTTTGATTCTTATGGACTTGTTTTAATTTAGCCTGAACTTAGATATGAGCAGTTGATGGTCTGTTCCACAGTCAGCCATTGGCCTGGTTTGTGCTGCTGATGGTGACTTTCTCCATTGTTCCTCCCGGCAGTTGTGGTCAATTTGATTTCTGTGTATTCTGTCTGCCAAATGCCTTTTGGGTTGTTGAAAAAAAGTTATCTTCTGTGAACAAATCTTTGATATTGCAAAATTATATTATGTAATCTGTTGCTTCCTATCACCAAACACATATTTTCCAATTACTGTTCCTTCCTCTTTAAAACTTTTTCATTCCAATTTCCAGTCATTTTGAATGCCCCGTGATGGCAGATTTGATCAATTTCAGCCTGAAGTCATTGGTATAATTCCTTAATTTCTTCATCACTAGCTTTTGTAATTTGTGCATAAGTTTGAATAATAGTTGTAGTGACTAGATTTCCTTGAAAGCAGATAGGTATAATCCGATCAGACAGCCTTGCACGTCATGATTGGATTAGTAGGCTTCTTTCTGGCAATGAATGCCATGACCTTCCTCTTGATGGTGTTATTACAGCCATAGTAAATCATATGATTTTCTGTTTCAAAATGGCCAATACTAGTGCATTTCAGCTCACTCATGTCTAGGAGATTGCTCTTTCTGTGTTTCATTTCATATTTGACCAATTCCAATTTTCCTAGATTCATACTTTGCACATTCCAAGTTCAGATCATTACCAGATTTTTTGCTGCTGCTGTTTGAGTCATGCTCTGTCAGCATATGAAGATCTCGGTGTCTCTAGTCCCATAAGCTTTACCAAACCCTCGTCATCACAGCCGACTTCACTTTGAGCAATCAACTTCCTCTGTCGTATTTGATTTCCTTATGCCCCACGGGGCCCAATGTCTGACACAATCTCTAACAAGTTCTGATTCCATTCACTAGACCTTCAGTTTCTGACAGTGCTTCCTAGCTATGAATAAGGTTTTCAGCGACTTCTCCCTGCAAAGGGAAGAGCTGAGTCTGTCTTTGTAATGTTAGTCTGGAAGCTCTGCTGAAGCTTGCGGTGACCCCGCTGGCATTAGGTAGACATTGACATCGCTTCCAGCAGCACAGCAACACGTAAGCCACCGCAGTATAGCAAACTGACCGACAAGTCGTGAAAAGAGCAACAGTCTTGGAGACCCAGAGGGACAGTTGTACCTTTTCAACATGTGGCTCTTAGGATCCATATGGGTTGGAGTTGGTTTCATGGCAGTGAGTTTGGCTGGGTTTTGTTTGATCATTATACTCAACTATGGAAAACCCAAAAGGATAAACAATTCCCTCTAATTGTTTTCAATAAAGGCCTTGAAGGTAGGATTCTTCACACAGATGAAGCTATAGGTCTTATTAAAATAAAGAAAAATCCTCAGAATGGGGGTTTTCAGGAAGCTGCCTAGCAGATCAAATTGTGACAGTTTTCTGAAGATGGGAGCATTGGAAATCTCTGCCCCGGTAGTGTCGGCTACAAATGATAGTTTTCAGGTCGCATCGTTACAATGTGATTGGTTTTCAGGATTCCTTGAAACTGAGGAAAGAGGACTACAGAGGAGTTAAAAATGCATGAAAGTTCACTGTTCTTACCAAAACTCAGCTTAAAATTTGTTTTTTATTAATAAATCTGTCCATTGTAGCAAGTCTGTTTAATTTAAAGGGTTAGAAAATGTTGAGTTCGATCATTTTTGCCATCTATTGGTCTTTTAGAGAGTCTTGTTTGTACAATATGTAAGCACTTGTCTGTTAATCAACTTATTGGTTACTTGAACACACCCAGTGGCTCTTCTGGACAAAGACCAAACAATAGACTCCCATAAAGATTATAGTCTGGAACACCATATGGTCTCATCTTATGGCGAGACATGGAGCTGCTATGAGTTAAAAAGTAGACTCTAGTTCAAGTAACAAACTAAAAGTTTTCATTGCCAATTCTAAAGTTTTTCTGTGGTGTTTCGGTGAGTAATTTCTGGGTATTATTTTGAAAAACAGTCTCAGATAAATTATTTGCTGCCTTTTATTTTACTCCTACAAAATGTATTCATTTACTCACAGATTTTTAAAATTTTATGGCTATTTTATTGTTATATATTGATTCTTTCTGGACATAGTAAAAGATCTATTCTATGGATAAGACAGTAAATTTTGTCAATGAGAACATATTGCTGTAGTGATCTGGTCTGGGGATCTATCCTATGAAAGGATAATAACATATTAAGAATATGATTTAACTTTTGTTTATTTTGACTATAAATATGAAACTGCATGTTATAGCTTTATTAATTGTAAACATGTAATTAAAATAATGCAGATATGTGGGTATTTAATTACTTCTATATTATCCATATATTTGTAAATATGTAAAAACTGTATTCATGAATCAGAGTATAAGCTTTAAACAAAACATGTCTTGAGAATATAATTATAGTTCCTCTACTTTATAGGCCTAACAATAGTAATTTTGATGATCTTATACAACATTTTAGTTGATTTATTTTCCTACCTCATACACTTTAAAAAATGAATTTTGACGATGTATTTTATGTACAGATACCTTATTTATTTTTGTTTTCTTTGCTTTTCTTCCTGCAGGACTTTGGAGATGATGGCTCATTATATATCACTAAGGTCACCACGACTCACATGGGCAATTACACCTGTCATGCGGAGGGCTACGAGCACATCTACCAGACTCACATTTTCCAAGTGAATGGTAAGTACCAATGAGTTGAAATATGTACCTATATCTCAAATTATGTGCATACACACGTTCTTTACTTACTGCTTGATTGGGAAAGTAAGACTTTTGATTGTGAGTTTAATTTTTCAAGATTCAATTTTTTATGTTTTGGGACTTAATGCTTATGAAAATCTTTTACAATTAAAAAAAAACCCCACTCACATAAATATAAGTAAGATGCAGTCAAAGATTTAATAGGGATCTTCTAGTCCTAAGGAGCCCTGGGGCATAGCAGTTAAATTGTGAGCTGTGATCTGCAAAGTCAGCAGTTCAAACTACCAGTCAGATCTGAGGGTCAAGGACAGGGCTTGTTACTCCTGTAAAAAAGTACAGTATATCGGGTAAGTATGAGTCCTCATTGACTCAATGGCAAAGAGTTGATCTTGTTTTTCTTCTTCCAGCCATAATCCCTTTTGTTATGTACTGAATATGCTAGCTTCCATGCCTGTGGTTATAATCCCATTTTGGACGGAGTTCTTTATTGAGCTGACGGACAAGATTAAGTTGTGATGTACTCTAAGTCTAGACAGCATGAATCAAGCCATCACTCTTTCTGTGTATGGTCTGCTGAAAGACAGAAGTATGCTTTCATATAAGAAAACTGTCTCAGAAGTAGGAAGAAAGAGAAATCTCAAGGCCATCAAGGAAAAAACACCCCCAGAGCAAGTGTGAAATTTCTGTGTCGAGTGGCAGAGGTGGAGACTAAAGGCACGAGAGGCTGCAGTAAGAATACCCGGTGATAGGACAGAGGACCGCTATTGAGACTGAGCCTGTGAGGTAGAGCATCAGGCTGGCTTCGTGGTCCAGGGAGGCAGAGGCCAAGGGAACGCAGGGCTGAGAGGCTGAGGACTAGGGAGAGACTTGACTACTGGCTGAGGAGACAGCTTACGACGAATCAATGACCGACTCTTTACTGTTTAAGGATCTTGATTTGTGATAACCTATTAAATCTCCAAATAAACACTTTAATTATGAGTATTGTGGAAATTCTATGCAGCCACTGCAACGGATTAAGTAACTTTAGTGTTCTAGTGTATTTGAAGATGTCAAAAGCAGTATGAAGAATGTATTACAGGCCTATGACTAAGAGGTTACTTCATTTGCTAATTACATTGATCCAGAAAAATGGGGATGCAGAATACAGAAAATGTATCAATTAATTAATAATTAATTTGGCTTGCACATAAATTCAGATAAGGCAGTGCAAGAATGGAAATTCCATACTATCATTCATATGCTACACTTTGCCCAACCTGGCTTGCAGAACTGAGTAAAAATTCCTCTTTGGGTCTCCGGGGGTGTAAATCTTTGCAGGAGCAGAAAGCTTCATTATTCTCCCTCAGATCAACTGTTTTCAAAATGCTGACCTTTTAGTTAGCAGTCCAATGTTTAATCCACTACCCCATCAGGGCAAGAGAAGTACAAAAGACTGAGAAACACACACAAAAGATAGCATCCAATGACCCTCCATAAATACAAATACATTCCCACATTGATTGTCCTGCCTTTTAAAATGTGTTTTGCTTTCTTTTGATGTTATGTTCTTTATTGTACATAATTTTAAGCATGGATTTTGTTTAAAATTAAGTTCAGTAAATTTGGTTTGCTCAGGCTATTAATACTAAATATTAATACTAAAACAATCAAACTAAAACAAAACAAAATTCAAACTCCTTGCCTTCAAGTTGTTATTGACTCATAGTGATTCCATGGGACAGAGTTGAAGTGACTGTTGATTTTCGAAATTTTTACTGTTTATAGGATTAAGAAGGCTCATCTTTCTCCCCCAGAGCTATTGGTGGTCTCAAACTGCTGACCTTGTGATTAGCAGCCCAACACACATAACCTCTACACCATCAGAGCTATTAATATAGGTTAACAAAATTGATCATGAGAAATGCACTAGAAAAATACAGTGAAACTTCCAGAAAATGCAAATTAACTAGCAAGTAGTGCATTAATGGTCCCAGTAAATCTTCAAAGGAAGATTTTAACTCCTTTTTCATTAACTTCCCAACTTTCCTTAACAATTTTAACAGACCTTTTGAAATAAGGATTTTGTCTGGAATTCAAAATACTTAACAATGTATCAATTAGTAATAAAATTAAAACACATTATTAACTATGAAAAAAGCTCTGGAAATATGTCATCAGAATTAAGAAAGATTGTTTTTAAAGTAAAGATTTAAAAATCTAAGTATCTGGTGTGCAAGTCAAACAAAAGCCCATCGGTCGTCCTCGTTCCTTTCAGACAGCGCAAAATTAGATGATTGAAATATGAAAGGGCTTCTCTGTCCTTGTCAGAAGAGCATTACGTATAAATCAAAACAGATGGATTCTACCCGTGGAATTCATTTCATGCTTTTTCTTTTTTTTTTTTCCTAAAGCAAATTGTCTTTAGATCTTAAGCTTATTATGTTTGGAATTTTAAAAATTCATTCAGCGTTTACGCTGACCACTGGCAGAAATACTATTGATAGTCACAGTAAATGTATCTGGACGCTGTAGCTTTTTCGTTCATATTATCTAAGATGGCACACATATTACTGAGTGTATTGTTTTTCACATAGCAGAAACTTGAACATAAATTATTGGTTTATTGTTGGTCAATAAAGAACATGCCTATTTTTCTCTCCCAAAGTTTGGAAATCAAGAAAGTCACAAAGTCAGAAATACACAGCTAAGGCATGACCTTCATTATTAGTGGAGCTCTTTGCAGGAAGCAACTTTGCACAGAGCATTGACGGGCTTCTTATTCTTGCATTGTAAAACTGAACTCCCTCATCCAACCTCAGAGCTTTCCCACGTCAAGTCTATGTGAGATAGGAATGCAAATGAAAATAAACACGCTTCAGGCAATAGAGTCCGTCTTCTTTGCAGTAGGCACATTGGTTCTTGCCTGGTGTTTTGCGCACATTCTGTCTGTTCCGCCTGCCTGGCCCGGGGCGGGGTTCTGGTCTCCCCGCAGTCTTGACGAGGATTCTGGCCATTGCTTTGACTTGCTTGCTTCTCTTCTGGTGGGTTTCTATGGTTATAAGTCTTTCCTTCTATTCCTCCTAATAATTCACTAATTTTTTCCCCTGAAAACCTTTCTAGCTTCTGTAATCTTTTCCTGATGTCTGGTGTGGTCTGGGACACAAAAGCTACATGAATGGCCTTGCAGTTATCTGGTGCCTCTGGGTCTATGGGGTATAGCCGGTTGGCATCAAACAACCTCTTTAAACAAGCTGCTTGGCTCTCATCCTTGCCCTGAATTACAGTAGTTACTTTGGGCAAATTCATGGGACGGCACGCTGCCTCCCAGAGACCACTCATCAGAGTCCCGGGGGGTAGGCGGGGAGGTGTTCCCTACCTTCAGGGAGGTTTGGGTGATGTAGCTGAGTTGGTCTGATGTCCGGCTTTTCCATGTATTTGACCTACAATGAGAGCTTGGACTGGCCAACAGAGAGAGAGATTAAAAGTTCCTTCAGAGGGCCATCCCAAAGAGTGGCCAATGAGGGTGTTCTGAGTCATGTATAAGTATACATAGATAGATACAGGTGATAGAAGATAAGCAGAAATATAATTTATTAAAATGCACAATAATGTTATCATTCGAATATTATATGTTGATAATTCAATGCCATCAGGTAGAGGGTGACTCCTGCTGGCCCTGTAGGACAAGGTCGAATGCCCCTGTGGGTTTCTGAGACTCTTTACTGGAATAGAAAGCCTCACCTTTCCCTCGGCAAACACATGGTGGCTTCAATTGCTGACCTTTCACTTAGCAGCCTAATGCGTAACCACGACACCACCAGGGCTATGCATATACATGTATAGTATACTGTATGTGTGTAAATGTGTACTTCCTGGAATCGCCTCAAAAATTAACCATCTGTACCGACATTGTTTTTTCAGTGCTGTTTGCAGGGGCACTTAAATGTAGACAAAGTCCTTATCTTAGAAGATCAGCCATTGTTTCTAGAAACGTTAATGATATGGTTGAGCTGTACATTAAATGGCTGACTTAAAGTCCTACAAATTCACTTTCTATAAATTTCACAATGTAAATTATTTTCAGTTCTATTATTCAGCAGAGCTCATAGGAGTTCCTACAATTAGATGGCATTATAACTTTAAGATACTCCAACATATGCACTGTTAGGAACATAGTGTTGCTCAAATCACAATCTATAAATTCAGTAATTGCTAAATGCCCAGAGAAGATTAAACTTTAAAGATTAATGTTGCAAAACAATTAGTCAAGAATAACTTATGCCCCAAATTAAATTAGTTTGCCTTATGAGTTAAAGTTCAAAGAACTCCAAATATTAAGTGCAGGAGAAATCCAAAGAATAACATTCCTCCAGGTTGTCTTACTTTGTTTGTACCTTGTGGATGAGAGACGTTTTTTGAAAAAGTTATAAGCACAGATATGTAGTCACCATCCGCATGTTGGCTAATTTCCCGGAGTTTCAGTGTGTCGTCTTGCTGCTAGTTCACAAATTATCTTTACAGATTACCACAGCTCTTCTTTTTCCCCTTCTTCTGAATACTGTCACACTGTATCATTTAAGAGATGCCATTTTATCTTACTATTTGCAGATTAAATACAGATATTTCTTTAATTTATCTGGCATAGCAGTACGTAAAAACGACTGCACGCAACTTCAATTCACCACAATCCAATAATGAAGCAGTGTTTTGCCCCCTGTCATGTGAAGTGTAAGGACCCTAGAACTTCAGCATTCTTGGGTCTCTCCTTTTCCATCCTTTGTCTAACCTAATCAAACTCTCACACGGGTTCTGAACCCAACACACACATACAGGATTTTGTCTCTGTTTGAAGGACAATTAAATATTGTTCAGAGAGATGGAGGGTGGGGAACCCAGGAAAGACACATCAGGATTTTGTCTCTGTTTGAAGGACAGTTAACTATTGTTCAGAGAGATGGAGGGAGGGGAACCCAGGAAAGACACACTTCTGGTATCCT